CATTAAAGACTCTAAAGACCATTACTTCAGAAAAATCCCTGAGAACCTCTCTTTGAGGCGCCCTGGCTTCCCGCTGGGCTTAAAGTATACGTCCTATAGAAAAGACAGCTGTTACAGGCCCAGTGTGCGACAGAACACATATACTAATATATTAGAATACCCATTCTTTTGTATTTATCCCATTCTATATTCCACAGTCAGGCCCGTAGCCAGGATTTTGATTCGGGGGGGGGGGGGGGGGGCTGAGTCTGAGTGAAAGAGGGTCTACCCTAGCAAACCTTTTGTATTTACCCCAATACCCCCATGCATATGGGATATATTGAGTATGGTGATCAGATCATGATATGAATAAACATAACAGTTTAAATAATGCACCAGTAAGGCCTTCTCACGAACCACCATGAGAATTTCGGGGGGGGGGGCTGAAGCCCCCCCCCCCCCCCACCCCGGCTACATGCCTGTCCACAGTCTAGAAATATAATTAAGTTTTACTACTGTTGTTTAAGAATGCAAGATCTATGGAAAAAAGGGAGGAAATGTTCCCTCTCTAGAACTACACAGGAGGACATGCATGGAAGCATTATGCCACTGAAGTGAATCAAACACCCCAACCTCATTTGTAGGAAAACACAAAAGTCCTTGTCATTCTTGAAAACAATAAGCACTTGTTTAATCCTCAGTGGTATTAAACTCCAGTTCTGATGCACGCCTCTGGAGACTAAAATGTGAGCACGCAGAAAGACTCTGAAGTCTCCAGGGAGTGGGGAGGATGCACAAAAGTTGTCCTCTCTTTACAAATACACACAATTTGACATTGTACTTTGCAACAAATCATTCTAAAACAAAGGGTGGGGTCCCTGGTGAGTCCTGGGAGTTCAAATCTCCAAGTAAGAAGTATGTCAAGTTTGGCTGTGGGATTTAACAGCACCAAGCTATGGAGGATCAGTTTCCTTAAATCAATTATGATCAATACAAGCCAGATGGCTGGGCTGTCACGCTGTATAGAGCTGTCTGTCTGATAAGGTCACTGCATCTGTCGGAGGGAGATGGCTGCAGAGGCATCACATCTGAAAACTCCCTAACCTCACAGCCAATCTATCTGAGAACTCTCCATCAGGGATTAAGATGTGCAGCGAGGGGTTGCCATGTTTGACAGTATTTGTCAAGTGATTTTAAAAAACTTTTATGAGGAAATGTGGTACACCAAAGCAAGGCTGTGATCCTTAGAGATGGCATGTTTCTAATGGTCTTCCCTAAACTGCATATATTTTAACCCCCCCCCCTTTAAAAAAGATGTTATGTTCTCTGTCATAAATCACATAATCTTAGAAAATACCATACTGAGTACCAGTTATCTGAAAAGCTAGTATAATTAAATGTCATTTCTAGGAAAGGACAGACATTACAGGTTCAGACTCTTTCATATCTAATATTGTATTGCAATTTTCAAAAAATCATGTCACTCCTGCTGTTTCAGAAACTCACTTTACAACAGCAGAGACGATTAGGCATTTCTTTCATCATAAAGCAGCGACGATTTCCACAGTTATAAAATAAGCATTATTATTGATGTTGATAGATCATACATCCCTGTGGGGAAAAATAAAGTGCCGGCAAGTTGGACATGTCTTTAAAGCCACTTACAAACAATAAAACAAACAAGGGGACCTCAAGAACGATTTTGAGAGCATCTAGTTTTCTCTCGTTGCCTCTAAATATCAGGTTTTGTTACAGATATTTGCTTTAAACCTTTTAGATGTCTCTTTTCTAGAAGAGAATTCCATCTTATTATTTCACTTTTTTATTTTCTTCAAGTCAATACAAACTGTGTGCCATTGTTTCAGCAAAGGGATAGATCGGAATTAGTACTATGGAAATTTCTAATCACCTAAATGACAATTTTTATTGCAGAAAATATAGAAAAAAATCAAAAATTGTTTTACCTGAAATAATAATTTAATTTACATGAAACAGATTAACCAATAATTTTTCCCCATTAATGTTATGTATGTTGTTTGACATGGAGGAGAAAATGAGATCTCTTGATACTCTGGTGAACTTTAAAAATTCATCAATAAGAACAGAGGAAGCTCTACCAAATTTTGAACATATACAACTGTGATCAAACCAAGGAGATCAAACCAGTAGGAATGTAATTTCTGGAATAATTAAGAGTAGTGACATCACACTAGCAACAAAGATCTGCATAGTTAAAGCAATTGTATTACCCATAGTAACCTATGGATGCGAGAGCTGGACATAAGGAAGGCCAAGCAAAGGAACAAGAGACGCTTTTGAACTGTGGTACTGGAGGAAAATGCTGAGTGTGCTTTGGACTGCAAGAAGATCCAACCAGTCCATGCTCCATGAAAGAAAGCCCGACTGCTCACTGGAGAGGAGGAGATTAGAGGCAAAGATGAAGTACTTTGGCCACATAATGAGAAGACAGGAAAGCTTAGAGAAGACAATGATGCTGTGGGAAATGGAAGAAAAAAGGAAGAGGAGCCGACCAAGATGGATGGATGGTATCCTTGAAGGGAATGGCTTGACCTTGAAGGAGCTGGGGGCGTCCACATCCACAGGGAGCTTTGGCCTGGGATGATGGTCCAGGAGGTCACGAAGTGTCAGAAGCAACTGAACAAATAAACAACTATAAGTATGCTGTGATACATAAAGGACATTGCTCTTGTTGGCTAACTCATAAGTGAAAGGTTTTACTCATATCAGGAAAAAATTGTTGGACTACATTTCAATCTGATAATAAAATTAACTCTTTGGATAGTTTGAATGTGATTTTCCTGCTTCTTGGCAGGGGTTGGACTGGATGGCCCACAACTCTATGATTCTTTGATCTCAATGATAGCATATCAACAAACATGTAGTTAAAGGATTTATTTATTTATCGTGTCATCAGCAACCAGACCATTGTATTACATTTCTAACAGAACAAAACAAACAAACAGATAAAGAAAACACAAATTTTGCAAACTTGGTAGTTGATTAAATGTCCTTTGACCAGTATCTGGCCACTTGGAGTGCCTCTGGTGTTGCCGCATCGTGCATGTGGCAGGGCTCAGGTTGCATTGCAGCAGGTCTGTGGTTTGCTCTTCTCCACACTCGCATGATGTGGGAGAGTCTGGATATGAATGGTTGCAATAAGTAAAAGGCAAAAAGCACCAACACTATAGAATTAGTTTGACACAACTGCATTGTGACCTGATGCAATGACATAGGAACATTAGAACTCTAGACATGACATCTTTCACGGCCTTAAAGGGATTGTGGAGTAACCCATTGGGCTAGAAGGTTCAAATTAAATATTCCCCTATTTTACTCTTTTTCTCATATGTTGTGTGTTGCAATAAAGAGGCCAGTTGGTTGTATTTCGTTCTTACAAATCCAGATTCTGATTGAAGCGCATTATGCAGAGCTTTAAAAAAAACCTTTTCAAAGCTCTAATGTTATAGGCAGGATTCTGAAAATCGTGTTGTTTTCATGTTCCTCTGCATCCAGATGATGCTGTAGGGATATAGACTGATATTTACTAAGCAGTCGAAATCAAATTGAAGATTTTGCATCTATCATTCCTGTATTGCTATCCACAGAGAAATAATCACCCAAGAATCAGCCATCATTATTTGGTTTAGATAAGAGATGTTAGTCCAACTGATGTGAACACATCATTATACAAAAACCCCAACTAGTTGCTAATGGGGATTTTCTTTAAAAATGTCTTGTTTATAAATTATGAGAATGCCTAAACTCCTACTATTTACTAGAGACCACTAAAAATAAAATACACCTTGAATGGTAATGAGACAAACACATAAAATACTTTTATATTCAAAAATAAAATAGCTTTTCAAACAAAGGCAGATAACCAATTTTGACAACTGTAGTTAACAGCAATATCAAGGTTCATTGTTTTCAATAAGTTGTAGCTGCTTATTTTAATGATTCAGGATGAAAAAACCAAACTTTAATAGCCAGTACTTCAATCTGTATTTCAAAATGAATTGATAGCCATGTATAAAATATGTGAGAGGAAGCCACAGGGAGGAGGGAGCAAGCTTGTTTTCTGCTTCCTTGGAGACTAGGATGCGGAACAATGGCTTCAAACTACAAAAGAGGAGATTCCATCTGAACATGAGGAAGAACTTCCTGACTGTGAGAGCCGTTCAGCAGTGGAACTCTCTGCCCCGGAGTGTGGTGGAGGCTCCTTCTTTGGAAGCTTTTAAACAGAGGCTGGATGGCCATCGGTTAGGGGTGCTTTGAATGCAATATTCTTGCTTCTTGGCAGGGGGTTGGACTGGATGGCCCATGAGGTCTCTTCCAACTCTATGATTCTATGATAACCTATGCAGTAATTCTAAAATAAGCAAATATACTTTATCTCCCTACAAACTACTGGTCAAACTGCTATTGGAAAGCATAGTGTTTAAAGAAAGTACAGTTGAAAGTTTATTTCTGTGGGGAAGGGGTGTGCTGGTACGGCTGTATCAGGGACTCCAACTTTATTTTCTTTCTGTTATCTGTTTTGCAGTCATAGGACAGGCCTCCTGTCCATCATAATTAAGCTTTGGTTCTGCCCCTTGTTCTGGGCTCTGGGAGGGAAAGGAGCCATTTTTTGGGCAGTCTCAAGCTAAGCTATAGGACGTAGACCAGCTCGTCCTGTAGAAAAGCTTCCTTTCTTAATAACCATCCAGGGAAAAAGATAGCATCCAGGGAAAAATAACATCCGGGGATACAGAAGCAGAAATTCCAGGAGAAAGGTCCCAAAAGCTCTGGTTGAGAGCTCACAGCCTCTTGGCATCACAGCAGCAGAGGGAACAGCCCTGAAGTTCTCAAAAGAATTCTTGGAGAACAGCATTACAGATCCACGGAACTCCAGCTGAAATATCTACAAGCCTCGGCTGATAGGTCTACTCGATACCCAGATGCGCTTGGAATCGGTAGTAGGTCTCACACCGATGAGGCAGATAGAAAGCAGCCTGGGAGAGGTTAAATAGGGTTTTTCCTACAGAGAAAGTTTAGTTAATCAAAGTCAGGCGCCAGTCCATTGAGGACTAGACTAAGAAAGCCTTGAAGTGTTGTTTGAACCATTGAAGATTTGTTGTTTGTTCCATAATAAAGACTTTGTTGCATCATTAAAGACTCTAAAGACCATCACTTCAGAAAAATCCCTGAGAACCTCTCTTTGAGGCCCCCTGGCTTCCTGCTGGGCTTAAAGTATACGTCCTATAGAAAAGTACAGCTGTTACAGGCCCAGCTCGCGACAGAACAAGGGGAATTGCAGTGGCTGCTGGGAGATGGGAGAGCTGCAACAGCAGTGAATATCTGAGGTATAATCTGTTTTGTAATATTATTGCCAAAGTAGTGTGCACCGGACAATTTCCTCTCTATGAAGGAAAAGACTGCTGATCAGTTTTCCAAGACTATTAGCATATGTGTGAATTGCTATATGCATTCCATATAATGCACTCCCCATTTGTAAACAAAAGATTCTAAAGAAGCATGCTGTTCATTATCCAGGTGATAATCAATCATAATTACCCATTACCTATAAACAGTTTAATTAGTAATTCCAGATGCCTCTTTGAATAAATATCATCACTGAACAAAATAAGTGTGATTAATTGTTTCTAGCAGGCAAACTAATTGTTTTACTTTTTAAAATCAATAAACGTGTTTACACCTGTGTAAGCCTCATGAGCGCCATGGGGCTTTACTTCTGGTAAAACAGGTACAACGGAGAGGTGTGTGTGTGTATTTGTGTGTCTGTCTGTCTGCTTTGGAGTCGTCATTTGAATTATACTTCCACTTCTCTCTGAGACTACATCTGTCAGAAAGTAAATGAGCTTCTGAAGAAAACCAGAGCTACCCTCAATTTCTGTCATACAGTCTGTTTCCTGTCATATTTAATAGTTCCAATTTTGTTTCTCTTAGAAGAGCTTTCCAGCTTGTATTTTAACACTTTAAAAGTTGCATTCTAATATTAGAAAAGAGACCAGGAGTTCCAGAAAGAATATCTGTAACTTTCTGGGATAAAATGTATTTGATGTACAATGAGTATCATATTTCCAAAGTAAAACACCTGTGCTGAATTCTACCCAAAATATCCCACTTATTTGATAGTATAGAAAACAGCTGAAACTTCCATAACAGCCTTGTTAAAAATAATAGAAGGCTTTATTTCAATTACAAATGTGTCATCTTGGACGTTTGGAAAGGGCTAACCCAGGCATGGGCAAACTTGGGCCCTCCGGGTGTTTTGGACTTCAACCCCCACAATTCCTAACAGCCAGTAGGCTGTTAGGAATTGTGGGAGTTGAAGTCCAAAACACCCGGAGGGCCCAAGTTTGGCCATGCCTGGGCGAACTTCTTTTTTCCTTTAAAACTTTTCGAGGACTAAAAAGTGAAAAAACAATACAGTACAATCCCATTATCCGTGAATTTGATGTTCATAGTTTGACTTACGCTTGTTGCAAAAAAATTTCAAACCTTCCCCCCTACACACACACACACACAAATGCTTGCATGCCTCTCTCCCTCCTCCAGTGCAATTCTGTGCTATGCTTCCTGCACAAATATACTCAATATATAGAGTTCAATATTATCTATGGTTTCAAGTATCCATGGAGAGTCTTAGAACATATCCCACAGGGATACAGGGATCATACCACATCCATTTCCCCCCAAAAAGGAACCGAAGTTATAGGATGTTCCCTATATGTTGTAGGGAAAAAACAAAATTAGGAATGGTAGTAGGGCAGCTCAAAGGAAAACAATATAAATTAATGGGTATCTGACTAAGAGCACTGCAGCTACTGTGGTATTTTTGTTATATGTCTCAGGACCTTCCAGACAGGCCAAAATCCTGAGAAGAACCGGGATTTAAAATACCGATTGTGCCGTCCGCCCAGACGATATAAAAAATAAAACTGCGACGTACTTCTCTCTATGCCTGAGCGAACTGCAGGTGTCTATATTGAGAAGTTTGAGATACTCAGCAATTGAGACTATCACTGGTTTTAAACATCAAAAAAGGATATTTATTTATACAAGGTCCGTGAAGACTTGGCACAGTTCATAAAGTTGCAAACAACAGTCAATAGATGAAACTACAAAAATATTATTTTCTTTCTTTAGTTACAGAGGTAAACCTTTTTTTCAGATGGCAGATAAGATTCTGGAACCTTAACACCCTAACCTCAAGCTGTTGTGGTTTAGAAAAAAGCAGGTTTTTCCCTATCTATAACTTAAGGTTAGTTCTGGAGACAAAGCAGTCACGACTCTCTCTCTACAACTATATAACGCAATCTTCTCAATTAAGCTTATCTGTCTATAATATCTCAATATAGCTCAATACACTACTATCTATATTAACTCAATATAGCTTACTCAGTTTATCTATAAAGTAGTTTTTGCAATGGTTTTCCCAGAGCTAACTGCTTAGCCATCAGCACATCTGAAGTCTTTCCTCTAACTAAAAAGGCAGGGGAGAAACTAAAATGGAGATCTTTCCCTTGGAGAAAAGGCGGTCCCTAAACTCAAAGAGCTGCTCTCTAAGCCAATAGTTGCAAAGAGGCCTACAGACTCTGATATTATTAACTTTTAGGACTCTTGCAAAGATGCAGCAGCCCTGGGAGAAAATGCAAGGGAAGCAACCTCAAGCAACTTTAAAGTGGGGCAAATCAGGCTCCTGGGAAACAGAACACCGATTCCAAACAACAGGCCCAAATTCTGGTATTTTGGTGGTGGGCCAGCTAGATGCACTCCTGTGTTGATCGGGTATCAACCTGGGAAGGCAACTAATAAACCCCCAGCCTCCCACTTCCCATCAAAACTGCTCAACAGACCTGCTGTTGCAGATTTTCCCCCTCCCTACTCTGTTGAATAGGCCTGTCCGGTAAGTTTTGAAGGGAAATGGGAAGCTGTGAGGGGAGGTTGGGAGTGCCATCATGCTCCCGTGGGCTCTTAAGAGCCTGAACAACTGGGACGATAATGGGGATTGGCTCTCGAGAGTGTGGAATGCGATCCCAAGACTCAATTCACACAATTCAAAAAGGCACAACACCTACAAAGATCTGTACCTTGTTGAAAGGTTTCGATCAGCTGTTTTTCTAGTCCACAGTAAACCTGGTAATCCAGGTTTATCCTCTGGATGCCTCAGGATAATCCGGAACCCATTATGTGCCTGTCTGGAAGCGTCCTCATTTTTATGTTGCAATTACAATCTCATTGATGTCAAGGTGGATAAAAAGTAGCATCTTCTTTATTTAAAATATTGAATTTCTACAAGCTACTGAATCTCTCACTTCATGGAACAAATAAAATCATTTTTAGCATTGTAAAGATTTTCTGTTCACAAAAAATGGCATTTCTGCTGTATTTCAAAAGAATCATGATAAAGACTCAAAGTACAAGATGAATTCATGCAATTAAGTTTTTGTTTAGATTAGTAGACCAAATCATAATTGATTGCTCATATCCCTAACTACATTAATGACTTTCTAATTAGTAAGACTTATCAGTGTCGCTGGCTTGAGGGTTAATGCCTAGTGATAAAAAATACAGGTGTGAAATAACTCAATTTACAATATCAGAAGATGCTAATGATCTCACACAAAGAAGCAAGGTCCCATGAAAAATAATCTGAATTCCTATTACTACCTACTGACAATCACAGTTTTACATCATGCAGAAATTACTGTACTTATCTCCACATTAGCTACTAATCTTACTCAATCTTCTTACCAAGCCAATTATTTTAAAATACCTTGGCTTAAATGAATTAATGGGACCCTTGGAATTAATGGGACCCTTGGACCTCAGTCATTTTTCTCAAGACTGAATCACCGGTGACTACTTTGCAAAAAAGCAAGGAAATGTTGTATCTAAATTACCTATAGAAAATAAAAACTACAAAATAATTTATAAAAACATCCTCATAAAAACACAATAATAAAATAGCCATTACTGTACCCTTTTTAGCAGTCACATGGTATTGTTTTAGAGCAGTGGTCCCCAACCTGTGGTACGTAGCCCACCAGTGGTCCACAAGAAATAAAATATGGCCTGCAGCCTCACTGTTACTACACCGTTGCAAAGAGAGTGACCGTTCTCGCGAAACCCTCTTATAGTGCCGAGGCTTATTAAATATGGTTTTCTGTCAACTAGTAGATGGTGACTACTGGGTGGCATATGTTCTGTATCAGAAACTAGAGCTGATGTGGTCTATCCCATGCAATTTTCTGAATCAGCACCCCAAATAGCCAAATATAATCTAAAGTTGACCAAAAACTGATTCGTAACCCTTTTGGCACTAATGTTGGAGAGTGGTTCCTGGTCAAAATGGACCCTGGTCGAAAAAAAAAAAAAGGTTGGGAACCACTGTTTTAGAGAAATGAAATATGTGGGTAAGGCAAGTGACCAAATTTCCTTATGCAATGACGGCATGTCTCATGTCACTGTTTGTTCCTTGTCCCAAAATAGGACCTTTATGACTAGACAAAAATTGCCTGGATCCAAGGGAAAATTCTTCTGGAGGTATTTTGTAGCTACCCTGCTTCAAGATGCCCTGGAATATTTCTTTCTTTAGTGGAACTATACTACATATAACAGTAAACACCCCACTACAAAACTAGATGCAACTGGTCAAGATGTTGGGATAAAATGGCACCAAGGTTCCTACTTACAATAACTGAAATATCTCAACATGTTTCTTGCAAAGGAAACAGCAGCAATATCTCAGACTCGATCTAGAAATAAAGCAGTGTTCACTTAAAGCCATTCAGCATGAAATGTACGTTATTCAATTTGAAAAATGTCCTGAAAATAACTCACACAAGTTTAGCCAAGATGAGATGGTATGAAATACATACTTTTTCTAAGTATTTATTTATCAGAAGTGCTTTTCTTTTTTTCCCCAAGTTCTGACAATGCTCAAAAAACTTACTCTGGAAAACTTTTTGCATACATACATACCTATAATAACGATAGTTACTCACCATTACAGAATTGCCCACATTGTGTCATAGGCTGTGCCAAGTTCTACTTATACTTGCAATAAAAACATTATAAAAATCATTTTATGGATGTCAACTTCCGGATTATCCTAAGATTAGAAGTTAATCTTATCAAGTAGGAGACTAGAACTTCCTAGCAATATTTCTAGCCT